CTTAGCGGATTCTTCAAAGCAACTGGGTACAATATGGGCGAAAAGGAAGAACTCTGCCGCTAGTTCTAGAACTGTATGATTCTCTTTTAGGATCATTATCATGCCAAAACGCAATTTATGGCAACATATTTTGATCAACGATACCGCTTAATAAAAATCGACTCAATGCATGACCATCAGTTTAAAAATGGAAATTTGTTTAACCATTAAATATCCGTTACTACAAGATTTGTGGAAATAACTTTTTTAAACCTACTGATCAACTTTTTTTTTGAAAAGCAGCCGCCCGTTTTTTATCCTTTTGCTCATGTGATACTCGATATTCTTGTTATGTTCTGCTGTTAATCCCTAACATCAGATGTTATCCTTTTTAATGCTTAAAATTCAGTGCGTAAACTGTTTATTCTTGACTTCTTATTTCTAATTCCGGGTCTCACACTGATTAGCCTTCTTCCGATGTATCTCTCTTCGTTCGCTCCAGCATTCTGAATGACACGGGATATGTTTTCAGCTGACCCAGTGTCGATTTCTCTGAAGCCCTATTGATTTTACTTTCTGATATTGTATTATTACTTTTTCTGTGACCCTCAATCTGATACAGATTTAAATTATGCTCCAGACGAGCTTAGTCTTATAGTCTGTCCGGGAAGTAGACACGCTCGGTGTTATAAATATGTTTTCACCTTATCGTGATTGCAGCTTTTTCATTAGTGATATGGCGTACCCATACCACTTTTTCCGTCTATACAGTTTATATATTTTTTGAAAACCATGTAAAACGGGTTTATAATATGCACTGCAAAAATTAGCATGGTCAGTCGGATGATTATTAATGCTGATATTTCGGGTCGTGTCTCGGACCTTCTTCCAGGTAGGAGGTTGGTAGAGTTTCCGAGGCTTTTCTTGTTTTCCTCAACGGCTGATGCCGTTGGAACCAGAAAGCACACGTTTGTTTCGTACTGCTAGTTAAATAGTTTCTGAGCGACGAGGCTCATCCATTGCTCTCAGAGTTCATGTCCTTTGTTGTGGTTTTCGAAGAACTGGATGGTTTGTGCCTCGTTGGTACACTGTGAATCAGTGTCTAGTTCTTTGATGATGTCGGCACACCCTAATACATTTAGAAACCTCAATAGTTTTTGTTCTAATGGTTGCTGTGAATGTAATTCTTCAAGTTCAAATGGGGTATGTATTTTGGCGTCCTAACGCACTCCATCAGTGTTAAGATATAGAAAATGTGTCTGTGACCGTTTTTGCGTTATGGCTGAGTTCATTAATATTATACTGTTAGTTCAATCCCTAATCCTCTTTTACTGTCTGGTTTTTGCATCTCTCCAAGAGTATACGAATCGTATATAAAGTAAACTAAATGTTTAATTAAAGTCAATGTATAGGTTCTGACCCATCGAAGAAAATTCGCGTTCTTTCGTCGAAAATGCGTATGTGAATGCGGTTGAGGGGTGCCTAAGTGGCATCACCAAGAGTAAAGACTATGGAAACTAGGGAAATGACAGACAATACGCAACTTTCCAGAAACTGACGGGAGAGCTGGACACATAAAGACTAAGAATTAAAGCAGCCGATGAGGAGGTGGGAGATTCAACACATTAAACTGGTTAGGAAGTTTCTGCAACCCGCTAGACCGAAAGCGTCAAGAAAAAATGGAAATGTACAATATGAGAGTTGCGTCGGCTGAACCTCTCGGCTTCCACGTTCTCTTATTAGCTTCCTGACCACCTGGAGTCGGTGGCTAATGTCGCTGATCATGAATGATTCAGGTTCGTAAGATAGGTCCGTAGTTGTAGCTCTAAAGAGCTATATGGCCGTAACACCGATTCATTTCTGGTCATGCACTGTCAAGTTTTGGCACTTATTTTTCACTCAGCTATCGCTGTTGAAGAATTGCAAGCTTTCGAAATCATAATTGCTAGTATAGATACTAATATACTTATTCTGTGATCTCCTAACATCATTATTTTCAATTCAGCTTGTCGGTTAGTCGACCTGTCTGTCTGTCATCTATCTATATCTTTCTATTATCAACAGACATGAGGAATTTGGCACTCTTAGAAAGCGGTAAATGTATTATACTAGCATTCATACTAGTAGTAATGCCGACGATTTCGAAAGTTTGTAGTCCTCCCACGAAAATATAAATATTAATTTTCGGCCGAAGACCCCGGGAACTGCCAAGGATTGCTTAGAGCAAGTGTATATAAGGACTCTGTTCCAAACTAGGCTTATTTTCTGCCGAAGCTGGCACAGGTTCGGAAACATTGGAGAGGCTTTCTGGCGCGTCTGCCTCCGCAACATGAAAGGATAACAGGTCGTGGAAACTGACTGAATATAATTAAAGTTCTCTAAAAGTACTACGTGCCTGAGGTGTCGTGGTAATGCACAGATATAAACAGACGATAGTCAAGCAGATAGACAGACTGACTGTTTGACTGACTGACTGACTGGCTGACAGACTGGGTGTACAGTAATCACGCTACGAAACCATATGCTCGATGGAAGTGCTGCGTAACGTATTATAAAACGTTGCTGCAGTTATATAGGCATGATGGATGATAACATGCTTCACAAAGCAAATTCGTCTTAATAAATGACACATGAGTAACAACGCCAAATCACTCATCCTTAAAGAAGGATCATGTAGCCATGTCCAAGTGTTTTCGAGTTAGAAGTGAGGTACCATAAATAATTGATTGGAATATGTTCATTTCCTTAGTAGTTGAATAGTTTAAAATGGTTTGGCGTGTGCTCGGCTACTTTCCAGTTTGAAGTATGATCCAAGATCTTGCATCTCGTGATGATCAACCATTTGTAGGATAATGATGAAAATTTTTGCTCATTATAAATTGTTGTTTTGACGGGACCAGATTTCGTCTCGAGTTTCCAGCCTTAATTAGCTATGTAAGAAATCTCGCTTGTCGTACAGGTCAGTATTGACGTAGTTGTCCCGTTTGGATTACAAGAATGTGGGAACCACGTTTGTTTCTTGAGTTTGAAAGCGAGTAAAATTAAACAAAACAGCAAAACAAAGTAACGCTTGAAGTAAAAGGGTGATTTTAGGAAATATCTGAGGATATATGTAGTGCATTTAAAATCTCACTGTAAGCTCTGTATCCGAAATCTCGCGCAAAAATTTGTTAATCTTATGGTATTGCAGTTTCCGTGGTGCTGAGGCGACAACTAATCTAATTTGCTACGCATTTATGTTTTAAAAATCTAAGCGAAACCTCTTTCTAGAATTTCATCGCTAATGTACACTGAAAGATTGTCACTCATATTCTCTGTCTGAACCTCCATTTTATGACAAATTGAAAGAGTACAATGGAAGTATTCAATGAGATCATCGATTCAGCTAGAGAAGATAGCAGAATATTGCCTAAGAAGAAGGGGGACGAGGAACAGTACCTCATTGAATGAACGAAGTTTAGAGACTTCTTTCATTGTCAGAGATAGAATATAGCGTGCACATGTGGGTAACGTATTTGTGCCACACTTTATTCGCTTTTGTAGTTCTTTGGCTACAGCCGCCACAACAGCTATAGGGCACACAATCCGCTGCGTAAATCAGTCAGTACTACCGTGAAGAAGGCTCGTGACAAACGAGCCGAAACGTCGGTACCGATCAGTCATCTGACTGGCAAACTTATTCGTTTGCGTTGTGTATAAATAAACCGCTTTTATGCATTTTTCTGTCTCCGTTAATTATCATTCTGATAGCATGTCGCAGTGTATTACACAACCCCTTTGCTCGTAATTGCCTGGGGGTAGGGGACCATTTATTCAGACTATGATTCTCTATGTGAGCAGTTGCATTACGAAATATATCTCGTGTCATTTTGTACGTTAGAGCTCTGTTGCGCTTATCACGAGCTATGGTCTGAGGAACTGCAAATCCTTATGTGTTGCCATATAAACGTCATAATGTGTCAAAATGTCATACACTTTAATATTTACGTATAAATCATCGAAAGCCGGTGTGCTCTCGTTCTCTTCAATTATGATGTTTTCTTTTATGGAAGCAAAAGACCATGGAACCTGGATCAGTTTTAGTGGAAGATGCAGACAATGGGTGGAAATTGGTTGATGAAGTGTTTCGTCTGATTAAATCGAAGCTGCCGTTTGATCTACAAAAGACTCAGCCAGTTGTTGAATTCAGACAAGCTGCTGAACTTCAGGTCATTTAATACTTATTGTTATTTTTAATGAATGTTCGTACTTTTGTGTAAGGTTATCGGAAAGCTGGAGGCACTAATATCAAATATTAAATATGGAGATAGCATAAATGCTTATCTTAAGGTTTCGCAATATTTCCGTCTAAAATCCGTTTGCCGAAGTGATACACCACCGCGGACGTTTCGATTTCTCTTTCGGTGTGAATTTATCGTTGACACAGGCTTACAATCTTCCTAATCGTCCCAGTCTTCCTTTTATATCATATGTTGCCGACGGTGGACAGTAAGTAAAGTAGCTAGAGTTTTCGAGTCGTTTCACTGCATTCAGGGTGATCAGATTGGCAGCAGTCATTCGTTCGTAGACCAAGATTGTTCAGTCGGTTGAGCGTCAGTCTCAGAACCGAGTAGCCGAAATTTCGAGTCCCGGTTCGTCACTCCCCTTTCTTCGTTCTGATGGAAAGAAACAGGAGTCTACCTACTACGTTGGTCGTATAGTTGCTGTTGATTCTATCTTTGCAATAAGGCATCCCTGATTAATTGCATAAAAACGGGTATCATCACCGCACCATAAACATCATGAAGAGAAGGGAATCTCAAATGGCTCCTCAATCATTAAAGTGTAAGTTAGACCGACACTCAACGTTTACAATTTTCCTTTCGTTCATGCCTTCACGGAGGCTCTGGGAATGGATAATAATAGAGTAGTGTTCTTTCGTCACTTGCTGAAGGTCGACTAGATGAGCGAGTTTCCTAAATTAATTTGTACGCTCCTCCGCAATCATTATGTGCATTTATGCTGACCAAGCAGGTTCTCCCTCATCTCATTATGCGACTAGTGGTCAGAGGTATCATACAGACTAATGGCTACGACTCTAGATTCATAGTTGCTGTTGTTACGAATCACATTCTTCTACAAATAGCAAAGTTTTTTCACTGAATTTTTGCTACTTGTTCCTTCTGTGATCATAATAATGTAATGTTGATAACTATGAATATATTGATGTATGTATCGATATGTATATTTTCTGAACTGGTGCGTTTGAAACTTCCTGTGTGTTATATCTTTATATTTTGCTATTCAGAAAATTTTGGAAGTTACCCTCGACGACGAGAAGGTTTCGTTCGAGCAGCTGATTGAACTCTGCAGCCGAGTAATCCGCTTCAGCGTAAAAACAGGTTTTTAGCTTACATCCTGTTCCAATATCTTGCGGTACAATTCACTGACCTTATTTATTTTGTAGTATATTCTATTTTTTATTAATTGTTGCTATTCTGGAAAACACTTTTCCCTTGAAAATGGAATGAGCCTGGCTCAAAATGTCAGCTGCGTTAATCAAACTTCTATAAGTGAAAAATATGCGCATTTGCTTACCAGTCTATTATATTTGAGACAGTTCGAGACGTTGCCGTCATTTCTGGCATAAACAAACTCTCTAGTTTGTTTACTGTTTCTCCATGTTTCGCTTTTTCTGACCATTGTTTACTGTTCGTACTTTCATTGACTTTTTTAATACCGAATGCTTGCTCTTCACGTTTTCACTCTCTTGCTCCTGTTGGCATGTTTACTTAGAGTGACGTTTAAATGATCAATGTTTAACTAAGCCTGCATCTGAAATTTTATTTCATGGATGCTAGACTTGTTCTGTCCGAAGCGTGCAACGCAGTGTGTCTGTTGGAACTGAGAGCGAAATATTGGAAGATGTGCGGTTAAATCAGAGCTCAAAGGGAGTCTGGCGATGTCACTGCACAAGTGTACAAGTTGAAGTTGAATTGATAGTCTACGTTACATGTTGCTAGCATAGGAAGCGACTACCGCTGGACGAGAGACACAGTCCACAGCTCGTGGGTTGACCTTCAGATTGGTGGAAAGATGAACAGAGTAAATCTGTTAAAGAAACATCGACTTTGATAAAAGTCGTGGAGGACGAAATTATAGGGTAAGCCTTTATAGATGCCCTTGTCGTTTCTGCAGTTGACAGAAAAAATCTGATTATCATGACAGTAATTGAATTATATTCCTGTAGTTATCATAATATATCTAAGCATTTCAAAAGTGCCAAATGTTTTTGTTTTCAAGCAAGCATCAACAGAACTATTAACGCCTATTATCAACCCGTCAAATCTAATTGCTTGTTGAGAAAGGTCCTCTTAATGATCCGAATTACTTTCTTTCACATGATTGCCCAAAAATGCCTGCCTATTGGATTGCTATGAATAAACAATGTTTTTATCCTTATATATTGATTTACTGTTTGTTTACAGTGACTCAATATCATCTCTATTATTTTACGATTAAATGCCTTTCTTTCCTTTGCATTTATTCCTAATATATGCCTGCTTTTTAGGACATCCGTTTTTCCGCAATCAGTTGTACGCTGGCGCTGATCCTTACGGCTTGGCGGCTTCTTTCATGATCGAGGCATTGAATACGAACTTGTAAGTACTTTATAAGCTAAGTGTGTAGTCGACGGAAGTTCTTCAAGTTAGGTGAAATTAATACAGTTATGCACCTTTCAGTTTCATTGCTCCATTGATTAATAGCCACCGAAACGTTTTGTTATTCATTCGTTGGTTTGCTAATTGTGTATCTCCTGTTTGCAACCAAGCTATTCAGGATGCTCAAGTTTATC